AATGCAAAGAATCATAGTTCTTTGGGCTGTAACTTAAATGGTGAGTGGGGGAAGAAAGACGGCATAGACTCACAGGGTACGTCTAGACTACAGGGTTTTGTCGACAGAAGCTTTGTCGACAGTATCTGTCGACAAAGCTTCTGTCGACAAAACCCTGTAGTCTAGACGTACCCTGTGAGTCTATGCCGTCTTTCTTCCCCCACTCACCATTTAAGTTACAGCCCAAAGAACTAGGATTCTTTGCATTTTTTATGTGTTCTTTTCTTAGTTGATCTGTAACACCTAGCAAACAAGTGTGCTTTATCAAGTATATTGTTTTATTTTGTTAATAAAACCATTGTTTTTAAGGTGATGAATTGATTCGTTTGTCCTGGAGGGTAACAGGAGGTCTCTGTGTGTGTCTGCCTTACCTTGAAGGTCAGCTATCAGAGATACAGTTTGTTTTTCTGTGATTTTGTACTTCTTTTTTCAAGCTCTCTTGGGGCAAAAGAGCTTGGGGAACGAATTCTAGTGTTCCTTCCTGTTTTTTTTCAGGGTTAATTCACTTGATGGTGGCAGCTACCCCCTGATGTTGGTAAATCTGTGACTCTGGAGAGTTGTTGTAAGCAGAGCCTATAGAGGCAAGGTATTTAAGGTCCCTTCCGGGCCCCCATCTTCTGCACTTGGAGTACCATAGTGGGGAACAGCCTTGACAGTTCTTAAACACTATGGTCAGGTCTACACTAGACCAGCAGCTCAGTTTATGGTATGCAACTCTAGCTATGTAGAATATGTAGCTGGAGTCAGCTTACCATAAGCTGAGCTTGGTGGCGTCCCCACAACAGGAGGCTGATGGGAGCAAACACTCCCATCAACTTCACTTTCTCCTCACAAAAGCAGGAGTTCCGGATGCTGAAGAAGGCACCCTCTGAGTCTGGTTTAGTGAGTCGTAACTAGACTCGTTAAATCAAACTCCAGAAGATCGATCACAGCAGCGTCGATCTTCCATTTAGTGTATACAAGGCCTATGTATTCTAGCTCCTAAGGAAGATGTGACACACATTGTGACTTTCTACATCTCTTTCCTCTCCCCAGGGTGTTGTAGCACAATGACTGTTATTCTCCTTCCTGCCTAGGAAAAATATTGTACCTCAGCAGAAGGAAAGGTCAGTGTAAGTTCTCCACATTGTCCATATCACCCTGGTTCTCTTCCATCCTGTCCCATAGAATCAGACAATGTAGTTACCATAGATTGAAATTTTACAATAGGTTTGCTGAGCACACAGCCAAGACAATCATTTCTCCTTGGATTCTAATACTGAGAGTTATTCTAGAGTGCAAGTCAGTGAGTGGGAATGGAATCCTGAATCCAGTGAAATTATTCAACAGACATCAACTAGAGTTGATAATATTTACTATTTATACTAGCGTAAATGTCTAGACCAGACATGATCAGAGTCACATTGCAATAGACCCTGTGCAAACACATTCATAAAAGACTGTCACTTCACAGAAGAGTTTATATTTTTAATCACTATCTTTCAATATAGGCCGTAGAACATCCCCTTCCAGCCCCTAGAAACCTTTGAGCATTTTTAAGAACAAACTCAAAGCAAACTTTTTAAAGTTCTAAAACCATTTTACAAACTACAGCTCTGATTTTCAGCTATGGGTAAAAAAACAATCAAATCATCACAAGAAAAAAACAACAAACCTGTTCTCATATATTAAAATTCAACTCTGTGCAGAAGGTTTACACAGGCCTATGTGCTTCTTAAGTTCCACTATAAGGTTTTATAAGAGTATTACAAATACCAAGAATACTTAACATATTTGAAAAAGGAGCCATAATGTGTATCCCTTGATGATGAAGGCATCTCAAGCACACACTTAAGATACCAAAATGGAACACAGGTTCTGTATAGGCCTTTTATAGGCTCACCGTATAATGGTCAGTTTCACCCATGAGGTACATGTCTAGGAGTGGAAGGATTAGAAGTTTTTCTTCTGGTTTCTGGCTCAGTTATTGACTCTACATTAAGACTCTGGGATTTTCATAGAAACCAAGGCTGAACTTCAAACGTTTGCCCATCACAAATTGCAATCTTAATTTCACCGAGTTTTCATAAATAACCAAAATTCTGTTATTTTGTTTTGAGTACCTTTGAGTCATAGAACCAAATGACTCCAAGTATTTACTCATGAGATAGTTTACTCATTACAAAAGTAGTATGTTTTTGTTTTCAACCTCTCTGAAGGATTAAGAAAGATTAGGAAGGAACATTTACTTATCAGTAGCCACATTTCTGACATATTTAACTTGGCACATGGACGTTGTGTAAATTGAACTGACAATCACTAATTTATAACAAAGTTATATATTATGAAAATATTGATAGGTGTTAACAGGAGGATATATTGGCATTCATCTTTTAGTGTATTGCTCCTTTCTGTTTTTGAATCCCATTTTCAGTGATGTACAGTCTCATCTGACAATAAATATGCACAATCCTTTTACATTGGGCTCAATCTTACATTATATTCATGTTGATTCTGCTGTTGGTATCAGTTGGAAAACACCTCCTATAATTATTATTGAACTTTTCTATAATGAACACACGTGAACAGACAAGTCGCTTTATTTGTCACCATTTATGGACAAATGGGACAATTAATCCCAGGGACTGCATATTGAAAAGTGAACAGACTCTGTAGAGAAGTGTATTCAATCCACCACTGATTTATTTCCCCCATGTTAATGATCAAAGAATATTACTCCACATTGTGTTAATATTTTCTTGCACATCCTAGCTGGTATTTAACCTTAAGACCTCAATGTTGTAATGGCAAAGTATTTACCACTGTCACAAACATCTATCAGTTGTTAATCATCCTGTGTAAGTTTAGCATTAATACGGCTAGGAAACATTTCAAATCCAATGTTCTTAACCCTGTGTGCTACAATAACAGCTAAAGCACTGGCAGACAAGTGGAAAATTTAAGATCATTTGACTCTGGTGTCATTTCAAGATATGTTGTACCACACTAAAGGGAAATATTAACCAACTCATGTATTTTGCCTTAGAAATATGAAAATCCAAAATTATTCGTAAGCGCGGGTCACGTTCGTAACTCGGGGATCTCTTTTACGACCACTCCATGGGAGCTTTGGTTGTAAATGTGAACGGTCGTAACTCAATCGTTCGCAACTCGGGGACCGGCTGTATTGTTGGCATAGTCCCCTGCTCATCTCCCGAAGTAAGAAAGAAGCAAAAAAAGGAACTAACATTTATCTCAAACTCACAGTATCTCCCAGGAGATGGTGCAGTGTACACTCCACACTTCAATGCTGGGTCTAAAGACACAGGCTACGCCTAGACTGCAAACCTCTTTCAAAAAAGAGCGTCTAGTCTACAACCAGTACTTTTGAAAAAGTAAGCCACTTTTTCAAAAGAGAGCACCTAGGCAGTCTGGATGCTCTATTTTGAAACAGCATAGTTTGCATTACATAGTGCCTTTTTTCGAAAGAGCACTTTAAAAAAAAAGGCGTTCTTCCTTGCAAAATGAGGTTTTCTGTGGTCAAAAAATTTGCCACGTTCTTTTGATTTACTTTCAAAAGAACGCAGCAGCAGTCTAGATGCAGGGGAAGTTTTTTCGAAAAAAGGCCACTTTTTTGAAAACAAAACAAACAAACAAACCTGTAGTCTAGACACACCCACAATAAGCTATCACTCCATTTGTGAATGACTCTCTTTGGGTATAGCCAGCTATTGTCTGCCTCTTTGTAAAGACAGATCACCACATAGTATATTGAAGCTAACACCACACAACAAGAATAGGTAAAAAGAGGCAAAATTTGTACCACTAGATTAATCAAAGCACACCTAGCACCCTATCAAGATGCAAAAAGACTTGTCCACAACTAATTTCATGGGAGTTTGTTATGTAGCTCTGACAGTGACTTGCCTAAGAAGCAGGAAGTGACCAGCACCTTTTAAAGAGTGTCAATTCCCACCTGTTAAATATAAACTGATATTCTTTTGGGGAGGAGAGGTCTTTTAACATGGGAGCTTGCCTAATAACAGCCTTACACAGGGTTCACATTTCTGGTATTTATAGATAAAATGAATGACACCTCCTTGACTTTTATTATTTTCAAACATATTTGCACTAGAGTTGGAACACTAGATCTGATCTTCCTTGAACTTTGAGGAAGTTTTGTGATTCCAGCTTATCTCTACAAATAAGATGGTGTGACACAGATCAGACGCATTATTGTAAACCATAACTTCAGCTCAGCATCAAAGGCCTCTGGCCACGGATGTTTAGGGAAAGGGCTGTAAGGATTTCTGCATGGGAAAACTCTCTTTGAGAGGTTTGGGCTTTGCATTTGGTGGCTCCCTGGAGTGGCTGGAACCTTGCATGAGAGAGATTTTCTGCTTATTCTGTTTGTGCTCAGATTAATTTACTTTGATTTCTTGTTCTAAACACTCTTCCTTAAGAAAATGTTCCCAGTTGTCCATGGAAAAGTCGTCACTGTATGCCCACTGTAAGTCAAGCCAAGAGCTCAGATTCTAAACTCTAGGAGCTGAAACCAGCTTGCTGGAGTTGAATGTGAGAAATATACATACATACAGCAGTCCACATCTCCAATGGCACTTGCCAGCTGTAGAGTAACTTCTGGAGTTTCTATCAGAGAATACATTTTAAAATCTCCTATTTGCTTAAGAATAACTCGGTGCTTTCCCTTTGGTGCACAATGGCAAATTTTAGCCCCATGTCTCAGAAGCAGCTTTCAAAAACAGAACCTATGTACTAGTCAGTTCACTTATATGACTACCTTTCATTTTTACCCTTAAATGATAAGTTTTACTGCCTTCATTTTATTATTTAAAAACCGCTGAGCAGCAAAAATCTGTATCAAGTCAAGGTGTCTGAGTAATGTTTAACCTTAAATGAAAACTTGGCAGATAAAAAGGGTGTAAACTATTGAATCTATCTTCTTTCCATTAGTTATTTATTTATCAGAGAGACCAGATGCTTCTTTGGTACATACTTAATTAGTAGACTGACAAACACATTGAAAGGGCCAGGGTACACATTTATGTAATTCCTTTAAAACTCTATCTGAATCAACTTGTTGGGGTAATACTTTTGAATGAAGCCAAAGCTTATATCTGGACTTTGGATCATACTCTTCCTGATTTTTTAATATTTGGAATTGATAAGCTTTGGAAACATCTCTCTTGTTAGGAAAAAGCTAATTGTTTTTGTGAACTGTGAACCAGATTTAGAAAAACAAAACAAAACAAAACCCACCTAGAGATCTGAGAATTATCCAGTCTGAACTATGTCCAAGTTCATAGCGCCCACCATCAAAAACTTTGTGGCATGGGACTACGTTGTTTTTGCTGCACTCTTTTTAATTTCCTCTGGGATTGGCATCTTTTTTGCAATTAAGGAGAGGAAAAATGCAACTTCAAAGCAATTTTTAGTAGGTGGTAAGCAAATGACATGCGGACCAGTAGCATTGTCACTTACAGCTAGTTTCATGTCTGCGGTGACTGTTCTGGGAACACCAGCAGAGGTATATCGCTATGGCGCATCCTTCATTCTTTTCTTTATTGCATATACGCTTGTCATCATTTTTACTTCTGAACTTTTCCTACCTGTATTCTACAGATCTGGGATTACAAGCACTTATGAGGTAAGTAAATTGACATGATTATAACCAGTCTATTGTGTATGTGGACATTTCTTACCCAACTATATGGTAAAATTGGTCTTTCGTAATAGTTTAAAACACGGGGTATTTATTTATACTTTGACAATGAACGGCATTATCAAGGATTAAGAACCCATTGTACTAGGCAGACTTTCACTGGAAAAAAGTCCCTGACTCAGGGAACTGACCACTTTGCTTACTACAGTAATACAAAAGTGGGCTAAAATTGGTAAATGCAAATAAGAAAGATATTGCACGAGGAGGATGGTATAAATATGTTTACATTGGTATAAATATGGCTACATTGGAGTTCATATATATGTATTTGAGCCATCTGCACTCTATCTAGCTTGTCCTAAATAGCAATTAGGACATCATGGTGTGTGCTTCAGTGCTGGATAGCTGGGGGTGGGAGGGGAAGTGGGGGACAGACATGCTGGTGCAGGCTGCACCAAATCCTGCACCACAGTGTTAGCCCTGCTATTTTTGGTTAGTTGGCTAGACCAAAGCTTGCATGGATAAGCAGCTGCAAATCTCTCTCCCAACTATAGTATAGACATAGCCTTAATCTCCATAACCAGGAAACACAATGCTTCTCATGAATGGATATTAAGGAAGGGCTCAAAACACTAAATTCTACTCCCAATGCCCCAAACAAATACATTCAGTGTTGTCTGATCAGGGAATTTGGCTCAGTCCCTGTAAAGTTTGAGGCACTTTCTGCGAGTGGATTGGAGTTAAAATTTTGACCACAACCAAAATGTGCAGGTTTAATAGGGTTGAGTTTGGGCCCATTTCTAGAGGTTAGGTTAGGAAACATTAAGAGACCTTTACAGGTGTTTGAGGGAGTTGGAGGTTTTTTTACTCCCAGCATAATTTCTCAACTGTTTCTGAAATTTTTGCCCGGCATCCCACCTTCAAAGAAGTGATTTCCTGGTATGATGGCTCAGCAGCTGTGATTATTAAGTGTCATTGTGGTGTTATTACTGAGCGTACCTAAATTATCTAGATATCATTATGGACACTGGCCAAGTGAGGTATTCAATAGCCAGTGGACTTAATAGAGGTCATGGGACATGGCCCTGTTCTTTACTACAGAAAGATTCAGTTAACTAAGTATTAGATGAAATAAAGCCTCATTGGCTAATAAATCAAACCAAGGTAATGAGAAAGTTTGTGCATAGCCACAGAGGCTTAAAAGCAAGGAAAGTCTTCATTTGAAAAACTGCACAGGCATTTTGAAATGTTTTATTGCTAGATTAGGAAGAGTTCAGATTGTTTCAGTCCCCAGAAACAAAGTGAGAAAGTGCTCTTTCAAAACCATAGTGGGGTAATAAAACATCAGAGTCAAATTTTCTTCTGTTTCATCATTACAATTCTATTGTACTCAATGGAGCCCCTTTAGAGTAACAGAGGAGCGTTTGTTCCAATGATTGCAAATAAAAATTACAAGCTTAAGCGTAACAGAGAAGCAAATCAGGTAGCTCCACATGGAGATTTCTAAAGGACAGAAAATCCCTTGGAATCTTCTGTAAAAAAAATGTGCACTGGGGAGTATTCTATACGGTGTGTCATTCCGCAGAAAGTATGGATGGGCACTCAAAAGTTCCTAAGAACAGCAATGCCCATCATCAGACAGATTGAATATGTCCTGATGATTCAAGTGAGTAGATTTCTATGAAAGCCAATCAAGTTTTTCCTAGTTAGATTGAAGATGTCCCCAGTTTTCCCCCTCACGTACATGGATGAAGCTTGAAAATAAAGCACTTTTTCCTTTTCTGATTTGTCTCTGGATTTTTCCAAGGACTCCTAACAAAACAAGTACTATCAGATAATGAGTAGTTCAGTTCTACTGAACATATTATTTTAGATGCTTATGATTGTGATACTTAGATATTTTAGATTCATTACGAGGCTTCCCAAAATGTAATTTGCTGGATCTGCAATGATCAAATAATCCTGCACATTAGTGATATAATAGCAGTCTTAAGAAAGTCAGTGGGACTACCTGTGAGGTAAGATGCTCTTCAGTGCTAATAAATGGATCATAATCTGGCCCAAATGTCATATGCTTTTAACTAACTGTATTTCTCATTTCTCCCAGTATTTGGAGTTAAGATTTAACAAGGCTGTTCGTTTTGCTGCAACACTGATCTACATACTGCAAACGGTAAGCAAAATCTTTGTGCACGTTACCTTCTGTAACATAGTTACTTTTAAAAGCTCAGATCATATGAAGCAACTGTTTGCAGTGAGGTTCTCTTCTGTTTTATTGTCTTTATTTTGCAGCTGGGTTGATAGACTATGGTGCAGAATGGGGAAAGGAGTTCCCTGAGGTATAGGGTTGCTCATTTTGGTTGAGTGTACTCCTGGAGGTTTCATCACATGACATAATCTTTTATTAAAGATTCATTTTTCTACTTCCTGGAGGCACCAGGACAATGCTGGGTGGTTGGCAACCTAGCTGAGGTACTGTAGTGACTTAGAGAGGTTAAGCTGAGATTGGACTCCAGTCGTCTCCTGCCACCCTATCTTTTGCTCTGAGGAACTATGAAGCCACATGGCTCCTTTTGCCAGAAGAGTATGTGGCCCTCTGTGTCCAACACTGTAATTGCTTAGTTATTGAAATACATTCCAGCTCTAAAGTGTTCTAATCTGATTGCTTGTTCCTCCTGACCACACAGCGCTGGTCTGAAAGTTGGAGAGCACTTGTGAAGATCACTTGATGGCACCAGCTTCTTTAAACTCCTTCCTGGTATCTCCCTTCCCTATTTACCCTCACCAAGAGACTCCTATCCCCTCACCTTGGGACTCCTACTGCTTTCAACCTTCCAGCTTCTTCCTGTTTAAAACGAACAGTCTTTATGGCTGCTGTTCCTAGCCCTATCACTTTAACTTCACAGCAGACACAGTTGCGCACTCACGTGGGTCACACATTTTTGCTCCAATTCCATGGGTTTCTGTCATCTACTTTCAAGTCCACTTTTTCATGGAGTTGGGAAAAGAAAGATGTGTTTACATTGAGCACACTGGTATTTTAGTCTATGCCAGCAAAAGGAGGTGCATTTTTAGCACATAGTCATGTTTATTACAGGAGTCATCCCTTCTGAACATTTCTGGCAGACAAACGTTACTTTGCCATTTGGGAATAATCTAAGTGCTTGGTTTAAAAAAGCTACTTTTGATCTCTGAAGTTTCTTGGGTGGCCCCCTTGTTTTTCTTTGAAAGATTTGTAATACAAGCTCTAATTTATGTGTATCATAAAAACAACTACGTTTTCCAAAAGATGTGCTTTGGTTGATATAAGTACGTATATTCTGGCTCATGCTCAGATCCTTTGCCCACCTCTGATGACATGAAGTGGCACTTCATCTGGCTTAAATAGAAACCTAAGAAGGCCCCGGTATCTTTTGTGTGGTGGACTCATCTCATTTGGGAAGAGGTTTGAAGGTGCTTACTTTTTTAACATGACGATTCAGCACATGTACACATTTAAGATCCACAGTTATGTGTGAATCACATGGATTCAAAGCCAACCATGTGCAATATAACTCTGATTATGAAGGAGGACAAGAACCATAATTGCAGCTGGTATTTATTCTGCAAAGGTACACTCTAAGAACCTCAGCTATATTTAGAACAGTGCCTATATAGGGTTACAGGTCTGTGTTAAGTATTTTTACAAAGCTAAATTAACCTATGTCTTCCCATTTGTAGTAATCCAATAGGTTGATTAGGAAGCAAAATAAAACTAAGGCACTTCCAATGAATTAACTTAGATTTTCAAAAGCAATCATCAAAACTACGGGCCCTGAACATCTCTGAATTACTCGCTGCCTTGGGTAGGCACATTTTTATTGCAAAGTACTCTAGATCATCTTTATTGCAATGCAACAAAGCATCTTATTTAAGGGAGGAACAAACATTGAGGTAAGCAATTACCTTATATATGAATACTTAGAAATAAGTATATATGAAATTCACTGAAGTGCAAGGATCTCTAACACCGTGAGCAGCACCAAAAATCTGTGCAGGCACAGTGGACCAAGCATCTAATACACCAGAGTGATTATATTTCCTGTGTCCTGTAGAGATGGCGCTGAAACAAATGGCACTAGGGAAGCTGTTGGGCATGCAGGCATATAACTGATTCATGTCAAATACATTGCTCCCCAGTTGCTTCGTTGGAATAATAAGTGGCAGTTACTTCAACCCATAAACTGTACCACTGGCTTTGGTACAGCCTTAGCAATGGAGTGCAGTATTTTACTTCTCCTTTCCTCCCCTCACATCACAGTGTCATTATTTATGCTTAGAATTGTTCAGTTACCACAATGTGAGGCAGCTATGGAAAGGATTCTGTAGAATCTGTCCGCTATTAACAGTCACCCAGATCAAATGTGAGCAGGGTAATCTGTTTCTGTGCCACCGTGTTGATATGGTTTCACCTTCCCAGGTGTGACTTTCTCTAGCTTATTTATATTTCATGGCAACTAAACACCACACTGTAAGTTGTGTTAGAAACATTATATAGATATTATTCATGTATACAAAAGTACAGGATTACTTTAAAAAGGATTGATTTTTGTAGTGAGTTCATAACATCATCTAAGCTTCTCCATAATTTGGTGGCCTTTGGACGTGATGATTAGCTTTGAGCCCCCTCCTAATCAGAAACCAATTGGCTGTCTTTTCAAGTTTACTTTTCATGGCCTTTTTTCCTTCAGATTCTTTACACTGGAGTAGTGGTTTATGCTCCAGCATTGGCTCTTAACCAAGGTGAGTTTCTAGCCCAAAGCACATGCCTATACCAATAAAGCATGTCACAACACAAGCAGACTAACTGAAACAGGCAGATTAAAAAACAAAATACTTTGTAAAAGGCTCTGTGCCTTCATGTTAGTAGCTTTACATTGGCAACCCCCGCCCCCACTAGCAGGTGTCTATCATTGATCTGCTCTATTTTTCTTTATACTTATGAGTAACTTGAGGAGAGGAGCATAGAACAGTTTCTCAGTATCTTGGCAAAGGGCTCAGTACAAGGTGATGATCCAGCATTGTACCATGTACTTTGATTCTTTCTTCCCCTTCCAATCTCACAAAGTCCCACTGCTGTCATCTTTAATCTCCAAGGGATAAAACTCAGATTCCTCTAACTGGAAATATTTCAGTTGTCTAGCTGCCAGCAGGAAGGTTGAAGAGTGAGATTGTGGTATCTTTGATAAAGTAGGTGGCAATTCTCCAATTGGATAGCACTAAGAGTGAGATTGTGGTATCTTTGATAAAGTAGGTGGAATTCTCCAATGCCCTTAGATAGCACTAAATGGCTCTAAGCTGCTGATCATGTCACGTCTCAGGGGAGGTTTAAAACCCAGGCCCTGAACAATGATACACATCCTATAATTGTTTTATAACAGATCTCTTTCAAATTCCAGTACAACTCCAATCCCTGTTTCCCCTATAGCTACAATTCAATACTACCTACTTCACTTTTTGTGCTGAAACTGTTGTAAATCAGGGACCCATCTCTTAGCTGGGTAAGCATGTGTTGAGTATGCTATCTCCATGAGAGGAAAGGACTCCTACCACAAAAGGCATGGAGTGGTGTTCATTAGAAGCTACTTCATTCCAGTGTGTTCATAAAGAGAGGATAGGAGTTGGAAGATGCCAGAGGGCCCATGCAGTGGTGCATCATCTGACCCCCTGCTGTCCCAGACCCACCCAATCCATTCCCCAGTAGAACTGGGCTCTATTTTATGTTGGTGTGAGTAACCTCCAAATGCATACCCTGTTAGGTGGAACCAAATTAATTCTGTTTCTAGGAGAACTGTTTCAGCTGCATGAGTGGAGCTTGAGTTGCCCCATAAGGGTATGTCTACACTTGCCCCCTAGTTTGGACTAGGGAAGCTTCATTCAAAGTTACTAATGAAGCTTGGGATTTAACTATCCTGTGCTTGATTAGCATATTCACGGATGGTCACCATTTAAAAATGCCAATTTAACTTGCGGCGTGTAGAAGCATTAGTCCGATTTAAAACCCTTCCCTCAAATTAACTGTTACTCCTTGTGCAATGAGGATATTTAAATCCCGCACTTCATTAGCAACTTTGGTATGCTTCATTTGCTTCCCTAGTCCAAACTAGGGGGCAAGTGTAGACATACCCTAAGAGAGGCTTCATTGTACACAGAATTGCAATTCGCACAGTAAGCAGTGAAATAGTTTGGCGTTTTTAATTCTATTTCACTGTGAACAGGGAGATTACCTGTGGGCCTACAGTTATGATGCTAAATTCAATTGAATCACTTAAATTCCATTTACTTCAATGGACGTCCTGCATTCATAGCTGACAGCAGAATTTTGTTCTACCTCTTTAATCATTGGCTATTCTCTAAAGAGCTTGGTATTTTAGTTGATATTACTAATTAAAAAGGATAAATCTTTCATCAAGTCAAATTTTGTCTCTTGGGAAATCTGGACAAAAAGAAAACTAAGAAATTCTTGTTCAAGAACAACTGCATATTTAATTCTATCAACTGAGATCTTACACATATTTCATAGAAATAGATTTGTTTTGGACTTACGACATGATTCAACTTAATGATTACTCTCACACAAATGAGCATGGCAGCTAAATGAAAGCTATGGTACAAAATAATAAGCATTAGAGTCAAGAAGCTTTTATCATGCAGAAAAGCTCCTAATAGGAACCAAAAATTAAAATAAATAAGTCCTCCAATCTTGCTGGAATAAAAGAATATTAAAAAAAAAAGAGTAGTCCGGTAGCACCTTAGGGTATGTCTACACTAGCTCGTTAGTTCGAGCTAGTTTGGGTAATGAAGGAAAGCGGAGTGGCAAATGATGCCTGGGATTTAAATATCCCAGGCTTCATTTGCATGTTCCCGGGCGCCGCCATTTTTAAATCCCCCTTAGTCCGAACTCCGTGCCTGCGGCTACACGTGGCATGGAGTAGGTAGTTCAAATTAAAGATCCTAATTCAAACTACCGTTCCTCCTCATTCCACGAGGCTTTTTGTACAATTCGAACTACCGTTCCTCCTCGTTCCACGAGGCTTTTTGCACAGAGATCTTCCACAAAAATGTCTTGTGCAAAAGCGTGTCCATACCTCAAAAACGCATTACAAAAGCAATGTGCCTTTGCGCAAGAGAGCGTCCACACTGCATGGACGCTCTTGCGCAAGAAAGTTCTGATTGCCATTAACAGAATGGCCATCAGAGCACCTGTGCTTTTTGTGATAGGCTCTTTTTGTGCAAGAAACCCCTGCTGAGTATCCACACACGCCTTTTTTGTGCAAGAACTCTTGAACAAAAAGCAGTTATTCCTCGTAGAAAGAGGTATACCTATACCACAAAAAGCCTTCTGTTCTGCCATATTACTGTAAATTTTCGTGCGCAAAAACACTCTTGAGGTGTGAATGCTCCACGGGTTTTTGCACAAAAACCCTGTAGTGTAGACTTAGCCTGAGACTTTTAAAAGAATCTTAGTTATTCTGTTATCTTTTAGATGAACGGTACCTGTTGCTTTACTACCAGTTTGATTTTTTGTTTTTGTTTTTACAGTGACTGGATTTAACCTATGGGCCTCTGTATTTGCAACAGGAATTGTCTGCACATTCTACTGTACTCTGGTATGTGCCTAGCTCGACAGAAAGGTTTAAATACAGGTGATGACGAATATTCCTACTCAGATGAAAAATAATAGAAAAAGGGTTTCTAATTATAGCTAGAATGGCTGAAGTTTGCATGAGTAAACACAGAAATGTTGGTAAGAAAACAGAATCTTTCAAAATATTGTTGTAGCTTTTATAGGATCAAACAGTTTCATATCTTTAGCCCACACTGGGAATGTCTTAAGGTTTAACTCAGATAGTTTAAGATCTTTTTGATTCTGAGAAGGAAGTGATAAACTTTCATGTTATTCTAAAGCTTCTGGGAAGAAGATAATGATCTCCCTGGCTATCTCATTTGATGAAGTGGGCTCCTGTCCATGAAAACTTATGCCCAAATAAATGTGTTAGTCGTTAAGGTTCCACAAAACTCCTTGCTGTTTTTGCTGAAACAGACTAACATGGCTACCTCTCTGAAACTTGTCTCCCTGACTGTTTTTCAGTCTATAATTTATAAATGATAAGGGAACAAATTCATCTAAGGGAACAAATTAATCCCTGATGTAACTCCAGCAAAAGTATAGGGATAGAAGCTGGAATGAATTAACCCCACTGACCACAAACCCTATAAAGAGCTTCAATTTTGAGTGAAAGTATCATGAGAAAATCTGTGATGAGTTGTATGGGAGCAGATATTCTTAGTTTCCATAGGGAAGTGTTACACTTAAGTGATTTAGGAGCTTAAGTCCCATTGATGTCCATTAAGAAGTAGAATGTAAACCCTTCAAGGCAGGAACTGTTTCTGACTATGTGAATGTACACAGGGCCAGACTTACACCTTATGCACCGCTAGGCATAGCTTCATCAGGCCCTGCCCTCCCTTGTCTTTAGCTGACCTTCATGCTGCACACAGTTTTAGAGCGGTAAGGTGCCCCTAGGATACAAGCACCCCCTGGCATCTGCCTACTGTGCTAATTGGAAATCTGGGCCTGCATGTACAGCACCTAACACAGAGCCCTGAGCTCAGACGGGGCCTCTACATTTATGGTCATGCAAATAAGACCAACAAGAATGCAAATATACAGTTTCTCATTGTTTTAGGGAGGATTAAAAGCTGTTGTCTGGACAGATGCATTTCAACTGGTTGTCATGGTGGCTGGTTTCTTAACGGTTCTGATTCAAGGAACTGTTCAGAATGGAGGACCTAGCAACATCTGGGAGAATGCTATGAATGGGTCACGTCTCGATGTTTTTGAGTAAGTACAACATAAACTGTGCCTGTTATTTTCATTATGTTTTTTCCCACACTTTGGATAAAAATTCCTCCTTCATTAATAATAATATTCTGTGACAATGAGTGGCTTTTATGCAGATTGTCTAAGCTAGAGGAAAAAGCTTAAAAAACGATGAATAGTACTGCAGTACCTTAGAGACTAATACAAAATGTAGATGGTATCATGAGCTTTCGTGGGCACAACCCACTTCTTCAGAACTGTGCTGTAGGAGTTAGTGTGCTTTCAGTCTGTGGTTCTCTAAGTTTCCCAACTACTGCATCCCTTTCAGGAGTCTGAAACTCAAGCCCCGGAACCAGCATCACGTGCAATTCCCCTGCTTCACCGCCCTGCACTTGTGATCCCCATAAACCCATCCAGCGTGACCCAAATTGAGAAACATTCATCTAGATAAGCTAATTTATCCTCTGTAAGACCTATGTGTATCCCCAAGAGTATAAATGTCCCTGGTTGAGAACCACTACTTTAAGTATTCAGGCTTTAATCAAGACATCCTGCTTTTGGGATGTTCCATCAATTCTATAAAGAACTCTCAATCTTTTATTTTCTAATGTTTTTGGGTTAAATCCTGTCCCCATTGAAGTCAATGCGAGTTTTGCTACTGACTTCAGAGGGGTCAGAATTTCAGCTCTCATGTTATTTCTCCATTCATCTTTTTCTAGGCTATTCCCCCTCCTTTCACAGAAACATTCCCCGTCTTTAAAAAACAATCCTGACTTTATTAGACTCATTAACACGATATATATACCCCTGCCTCTGTAACTTCCACTCTAGTTCATCTGATGAAGTGGGTTTTACCAAAGAAAGCTTATGCCCGAATAAATTTGTTAGTCTCAAGTTGCCACAGGACTCCTCATTGTTTTTGCTGATACAGACTAACATGGCTATGCCTCTGAGATGTTATTTTAATATTTTAAGTATGCTTGCCACTGTAGCTAATAAGGGTGCCTGCTGAAGTGAATTGGCCTCTCATTGATGGTTCTTTAACTCAGCAACTGCAGAGTTCCTTATCACAGCAGGTCACTGGTAAAACTAGCAGCAGCTACAAGAGTGCTTTTATAAACAAAACAAAACAAAACCCTAAATGCAACTGTGTAAATTATCAACAGCTGTTATTGGTTTCAAAATTCACAGAACTCTTAAAGGAAGAGATTGTATAAATAAAAATAAGATTATCTTTATTTATCAAGACAAAATTACAAGGGTGATAAACTTAAAGGCATAAGATAATTACTAGCTTAACTCTGAAAGACATTTAAATTCCAGGGCTAATATATGGAGATAGTATGACCATACTATCATAGTGGAGTATTGTGCTTTATGTCATAGTAATTAGGTGGAGTATTGGGCTTTATGTCTGAAGTACAGTATGTGGCATTGTTTCCTGCTGGATACCAAACGCTGATGGGGGAAAGAGGCGGGGAGGAAAGGGCACAACCACTTACTTGTGGTTGTCATCATTAGTGACTGTTGTAAAGGCAATATAAGGCTAACTTCCTCACACTGAAATATGTTTCAGTATATGGGAGGTATAACACAGTGAATAGATATTCTCTTTAGCAGAGTAAACACACACACAAGCTTTGCTGTTCAATGACAAATTTGGACTGAGTATTAGCTACTCAATAGATGTCTGATTTAGAGAAGTGTCCTAACTGCAGTGTGTTTGGAACTGGAACTTTGGTTCAGGCATAGCTCTTCTGTGCCTGAATGTTGGGTTTAATCAAGTTGAGCTGAACTGTTTTCCTCTCTGTCTTGTAGCTTTGATGTAGACCCTTTAAGGCGACACACCTTTTGGACAATTGCAATCGGGGGAACCTTTACGTGGTTAGGAATCTATGGAGTCAATCAGTCAACAATACAGAGATGCATTTCCTGCAAATCAGAAAAGCAAGCTAAACTGTAAGTTGTTTAGTATCCAGAATCAATATAAGCTTTTCTCATAATCAGACTGTATGCTATGTATAATTTGTTTCTATATGGGTATATACTAATAATTATTCAAATATACGTATTTAACTTGAGCAATTTAACAGAGATTTAAATATGGAAGGGTGAGATTATGAAACTTTTATTTGCATGGAATAGTACCAAGTAGCCCTGAGGCCCTTTGGGAATATTCCTGGAGCAAGAAACTATTTAAATTTTGGAGTAACGTTTTAACAACCTGTCCCAAAGTGAATCTTCAAAAGTTGGGTTTTTATATCCGGGGCGATCCTTAAGAGTTATGGGGCCCTATGCAGTACTATTACATTGGTGCCCTATGCCCAACGGCAGCCTGGAGCAGGGGGAATGATGAGTTTTTAGATATGTGATTTTATAATTTTCAGCAACACACTAATGCAATATTATAAAGCAAATTTTAATCTAAGGTCCTGTTGACCAACATGGTAAATTCAGAACTGACAGCATATACCTGGGATAGGTGAAGCCTGTTAAATAGCTTCATTACCACTTGAATGGCTCTTTCACAGGTTCTGCTAATAGGCCTGGCAGGCTTTTTCACTTTTAAGTTAACTAGACACTCTCTGAGGGAGCAGAGCCACAGAACAGGGACAGGAAGAGGCAGGTGGGTGGACAGTAAGACCCAGTGGTGCCCCCAATTTCCGGATGCCCTATGCAACTGTGTATTTTGCATATGGGTAAGGACAGCTCTGTGTGTATCCCACTGAGAAGTTCACATTGGTGTAATGGAATGTTAAACAGTATTACAAGTTCAGCCATTAGGTGGCACTATACAAATTCCTTACTTAAACAAACCTTAGCTGTATCTGTCAGCGCATTAAAGGTTGCAATGATGTATCAGTCTGGTCTGTAACCTCTCTATATCTGGTCCAGTAGTACATGGCAATTGTTATCTATATAGTATTCTTGAAAGAATGGAAAATCTTTTAATGTGTAAATATCTTAATAAATTGTCCCGTTAGAAACAGCAATAGCATGTACATAACTAGACATACAATATATCAAAAGATCCAAATATTTTCATGAACTTGCCTTACCCCCAAGTGTCTAGAGCAGGTTAAATAATGCAAAAAACAGTTTTCCTCAAATGTTTCACATTGTAAATGAATTAACTTTGATCACACTCATTTTGATGATCACTCTCTGTGAAAGTGTAAAAGATTGAGTTTTCCTGACAAACGTTTCAAGCTAAATGTGAAATTCATATGTAGAAGATTTTACACAAGAAGTGTCTACACACATATCCAGTATGGGAATTGAACAAATACCATGTGACTTCACTTGACCTGTCACAACTAAAGAAGACAGCTCAGATCTCTCAAATGTTAAATATTTATCAACCTAACCCCAAGAATGAGGACTCTTAAAAGATACTATTCTTCAGATCATTCTGAACAAAGACATTGAAAGAAACCAGAATCCACTTCTAGAGATTCCACAATCAAAAATAGCCTAAATTCATGATATAAATTATGGGTTGTGAATTACTCCCACAGCTCTACATGTGACAATCCCTCCCTGATTAAAACAAAATGCCTATTTTCAAAGACCTGATTTACAGATTTTTCTCCATCAGTGGAAGAGAAGTTTGTTTGGCAGCAAGCTGCAGGATCTTCCTTCCATGACAGGAATTCTGTTTGGAGGATGTTCCATAGTCCTCTCTAGACAGCTTGATCAGGGGAATTAAATGAAGCAGTAGCAACAGGGTTTCTAACATTCTAGAGTAGCAATGCCCAAAATATACCTTATACATCAAATACCAAGCTGTGGGACACATGAGGTTTACATGGAGCAGCAACAGAGGGGCTTTCAGACCAGCTACAATTCATAACTAAAGAAGGAGAGAAAGAAAACTTATTCAGTCCTCTCTGAAGCTATTGAAAGGTTTAGGTTTTGTTTCAGCAATAGCCTCAGGTTCAGACTGGTTCTTATTTTGTGTAGACTAGTTCATCCACCCCTACCTATGGGCCATAGGTAGCATATTTGTATAGAGACTTAAAGTCCTATAGGCAAGGAGGGAGGGAACAGTAATGTAGTGCTACTCAATGCAAATTCACCCTGGGGGCAGAAAACCTATTATAGTACAGGTGGGAATCCAGGGTGATGCATAATAGTATTTCCATGTGTTTATTCACTGTCATTTATACATTTTGTGTGTCCTTTATCTCAAAATGTGTGTCCACTATCTCAACATGCTCCATTAAAGACTGGGAAAATAACATCTAAAATATGAAAAAAAAGGTAACAGTGTCTCAGTGGAGGTGGAGAGAGAATTCAGAGGGATGGGACAGATAGATAGATTTTGTAAGACCTCACAGCTCACAGGGATACAACATTTCTAAACTATTAACAGAAAAATTAAAGAGCGAAATGCTGCCGGCATCCATGTGTACCTCAAATAATTACTGAAGGGGAATGCAGATACAATTCTGTGGTGAAATTATAAATGGGCCAGATTCTGGACAACATAATATTAGAGCTGACTTCAAGGCATAATTGCAACAACTTTTGAGAAAGCAAATCAGTTTTTAAAGGTTTATCTGTAAGGATGGCTATAGAGAGTTTCTTTTCAGTTTGGCTTATGTCATTATCAGAATTATGGTTCATTGTAAATCTGCTTTTTGAAACTGCACCAAAACAATTAGGTTTGTTTTGTAAAAAAAAACAACAAAAAACCCACTCAAAAGTTTCTTTACTTAAATATAGTGAATGCCTTACTTTTTAAAAATATTGGTGCTCCGCCAAAATGTCAACATTCATTCAAGCCGAGAAGTGAAGAGGTGGTATCACTTATTTTCAGTGGAGTTTTCTAAATATATGAGAAGAACTTGGGTAGCCTGTGATGACTTTGCCATATCTGTGTTGAATTAGACAAACATCCCTCTCTCTCTCTCCCTTTTCAGTGCACTATACCTTAATTTACTGGGACTCTGGGTAATCCTAGTGTGTGCAGTCTTTTCAGGCTTGGTGATGTATGCCCATTTTAAGAACTGCGATCCTTGGACTGCTGGTTTCATCTCAGCACCTGATCAGGTATAGAATCAGATTAATGGTGTAAATGGAAAGATATCCATTAGACCCTGATTCCTGAAGGTACATAAGCACGTGCAAAGCCAGTGGGCCCAGTCATATGCCTACATCCTAGGCAGGTACCTTGCTGAATAGGGCTCTACAAAATGACAATGCTATTAATTTTTCCTGTGCCATGTATGAATTTTAGGTTTTTGAATTTATGCCACTGTCAAATACTATCTCACTTTTGTGTTGGTTCAGTAAAGCTTAAAGCTCTTTGTTTTAAGTTTCTCGGTTAGAATTGTGGTCTAACTAATCCGAATAGCAATTTCTGATGAATGCTTCACTTTTGTATAGCAATGTGGATAGAAGTAGCTACTTCATATTCAGAGTCCAGAGAAATATTCCACTTAAAACCCTCTTTTGTTCTGTGTGTTTATTTTCTCCTAGCTGATGCCTTATTTTGTCATGGACATATTTTCCACCATGCCAGGTCTGCCAGGACTATTTGTTGCATGTGCATTCAGCGGAACCCTCAGGTCTGTGTCTGGAATTGTGTTTCCTCTATAATGTGCCAGTGCATATAGTGCCTTGACTATGCAAAACTAACAGTCCATCAAAGAATCAAACACTAATCAAAACGCTAAACATGAAAATGCAGCATAATTTCCCTTTCCCTTGTCCCAGCTAAGAAATGCCTCAGAAGATTGCTTTTTTATGTTAGAATCGTACTTGAGCCTGAGTATGGTTTGTCAGTTATATTTTCCTATCCCCTGCAAACATCTTCAGGAACCACATTATTAACATAACCAAGGAAGCAGAAAGATTGGTGAAATACTAATTTCCTCTTTAAATGAAGCTCACCCTTCTTAGCTGCTGCAACTATGAAGATTTAAAGCCATTTGATTTGATTTGACTAGTACAACTGCACAATCAGGAAACCAAATGGAGGTCACAACAGTGAATCCAGCTCAACATAAAACCGCTATGAAAGTAATGTAAATACATGGTCAAAGTAGAAAAAACTGGAGAAATCAATGTAGTTGTGTGTTCTCCCTCAGGCTGCACAAAGTACTGGAAATAATAATGGGCTTGTAGGCTGAGGCAACTACACCAGTGTCCAAAGGGAAGTTAGAAAGAGGTGGATGGCTGCAGTCCAGACTAGCAGTAGGCAGAGTTGCTACAGGTTCATAAAAGAATTTCCATATTCACGCTTCTGTGCCCTGCACAGTCATGTCAGGATCACAATTGCCTTGATTCATAACTTGGAATAGATGAGCCAATAGAATTAGTATTTCTCAGATGTACAGTGAGCATATTCAGTTAACTGTAGTGCCTTCAGAATGTGATGTGAACTATCCTATGTGTAAACATAAGTTACACCCAAGTATCCTCATTGGGACAGATTCTGATCAGTTTCGTTATGTACCCAGAGCAACTCCACTAAGGCTGCGTCTACACAGCATCCTAAACTTAAAATAAGATACGCAATTTGCATAATGCAAATTGCGTATCTTATTGCAAATCTATTTTGAAATAGCTTATTTTGAAATTTGGCGTCTCTACACAGTGCCAAATTTCAAAACAATGTGCTATTTCAAGCCATTAATTATCCCCCGTGCAATGAGGTTTATTGGGATGGCGAAATAGCACGCCCATTGTTACGAAAAATATTTCAAAATAATGGGCGGCTTGTGTAGACTTGGGATAGCTATTTCAGGTCAGATTTGGTATCCCAAAATAGCCGTGCAGCATAGACTAACCCTAAGTCAGTGGATTTAGACCAGTATAACTGAAGGAGGTGCTTGCCCATTATAACAAATTCAAATTCTTCCACAGCTTGCAGAATAAATCCATTGCTAAGAGGAACTCTCAATACGCATTTTCTATGTCTACCTTGCATTTATTTTCTTCATTACTTTGGGAAAATTGACCTCAATAGGGTAGCATGGATCTAACTGAATGCGAAACCAAACACTCTGCACATTGCTGGTGCTAATCAATACAATAATGAAATGAATGATAGTACTGGTGGAAAGAGATGTAACTGAATGTGTTGTAATTAATATTACTATTTTGGGGTATGTCTACACTAGCCCCCTAGTTCGAACTAGGGAGGCTAATGTAGGCATTCGAAGTTGCAAATCAAGCCCGGGATTTAAATATCCCGTGCTTGATTTGCATCTTCCCGGCTGGGAAATGTACAAGTCCGGACTAACTGCCCGCGTCAACATGCGGTAGGGACCCGGTAGTTTGAATTAAAGCCCTAGTTCGAACTACCTGTTATTCCTCCTGGAATGAGGTTTAACAGGTAGTTCAAACTAGGGCTTTAATTTCAACTACAGGGTCCCTGCCGCGTGTAGATGCGACAGTTAGTCCAGACTTGTAAATTTTAAAAAGTGGCGACCGACTGGGAAGATGTAAATCAAGTGCGGGATATTTAAATCCCGGGTTTGATTTGCAATTTCGAATGCCTACATTAGCCTCCCTAGTTTGAACTAGGGGGCTAGTGTAGACATACCCTTAGTAACTATGTTGTGCGTGCTGACCATTAAGTTTACCTGAGTATAAATGGTGAACGAATAAAGAACCTAATGTACTGCTGCTGCTATACTTATCACAATAAATTCCCTTGGATTACATGCTAAAGAAAGTCTAACTCAGCATAAATAAGGGTGTCAAAATTATGCCCTTGAATAGTTATTGTTCTTATTTGGCACATAGTACAGGAAAGGAGGAGCTATTATAGTTGCAGGTAATATGGTCTGAAAATAGATTGTTAGATAGTGTCAAACAAAATATTTTTGGAGAATTTTGCCAAATTGGACCTTATCATTATGTTGTTTTCAGAAGAATATGTTAGCAGCAGCATTTATTTCACACCCTATGAATTCTAAGATAGCAATGTCCTGGATGGACTTCCTTGGACCATGAAAAGGTCTGTGCAGTTTGGGCAACTGGAGGATTGGAAAGTGTGAGTATTAAGCAGGGAGTTCTATCTTGCTCTGAGTGAGCACTGAGAGTGGCATAAGTGAAACGCCCTTAGGGATTGCAGAAGGAATGGGAATGGCTCCAATGTTATCATCCTTCATTGTTACAGACTTGGAACTTGTGCGCATGATTTTCCTAGTCTCAATAAGTACCAGATGTGCGGCTTAAACTCTGTAGTCATTTAATCAATTATAGCATTTATGATTTCCACAAAGTGACAGCTTAATGATTATTAATATATATAAAAAAAGAAATAATTGCCAGTCAGCCAATATTTACCGTGAACATTTCTTGATGTTCTTAAACAATAGGATTTCTGCTGTTAATATTTTGGCCAGCTCATTTTATATCAGCATAATGTTGTTCAGGGGGTGTGATTTCTGTTAAGATTATGAGAATTTTACATTTATTGGAAAATATTTATTTTACAGCACCGTGGCTGCGAGCATAAATGCTTTAGCAACAGTAACATTTGAGGATTTTGTCAAGGACTGTTTGCCAAATCTCTCTGAAAAAAACAGCACGTGGGTCAGCAAAGGCTTATGTAGGTACAGTAGATGGATCTATTTATGCATATTTATCATAAAGCCACAAATATTTTCTTAACCCTAGTCATGATCCCCTTTTCTCTATCCACCAATAAAATCTAGCAGTTTTTGAATGCGTATGGTATTTATGCACTATACCTAGAGGGAGGCATTAGTAAAATTTGGAGTAACCAAGACTGTGACTCAATAAATAGATGTATATTACTTCTGCAGCTCACTTGTTTTCTTTTTGAAATAAAATGTAGAAATTCCTATCCCATCTAGGTTTTGAATAATCTAATAATGCTGATTTTCTCTCTAACATATTATCTGCTCACTGTGCTTCAAGATACTGCCTTTGCTGTTTCAGAAGTCCACAGTGTCTTGCTTCATGTACTATCATGAAAATCCACATTACGAGAACAAAAGGGAATACTCTTGTGGGGTGTTCAGTATTGATGCCTATGGTACTGCTCATATGTTTGAATTTTGGTATTTGTATAACTATTTACAGGATTGAGACCAGACGGGATTGTTCTCTTAATGTGAATTTTCATCATGCTATAAGAGTAAAGCTATGCATGTACTTAATAATTTTAGGATGAAAGCCTGCATTTTTGTGGACTAACAAACCCCTTTAAAATGTTTAATAAAGTTTTAATGTTGAAACCATTAGGGAACCTTAAGGAACAATCATCTGTGATACCCACAGAATGGCAGCTATAAATTATTTCTAGCCCATCTTAGAGGGTCACAATGTACTGTTGTTGCTGTGTTGATCCCGAGATATAAGGTGGTTGATACAATATCTTTTATTTTATTTTATTTTGGTGAAAGAGACAATCTTTGAAGCTTATACAGAGTTCTTCTTATACAGCTTTTGAGATCTCTGTAGCTTGAAAGCTTGTCTCTGTCACCAGTAGAATCCGGTCCAATAAAAGAGATTACTTCAGCCAACTTATTTCTCTTAGAGGGTCACTGTCAGCTTGATATTTTAAAATAGTTGCTAAAAAAAATCAAGTTTCTGATAGCGCACCCTTTAAATAATATGTATTGATTTAAAAAAATCTTTAGAATATTTACATGGATATCGCTGCTCTTCTACATATTTTCACTGAGATCATATATAGGATAACACCCTAAGCACACAGACACTTCATCTCTGTCCATATGTCTACCCTTTGACCTCAGTTTCAGCTTTGCTGATGCTGTTACTTTAAACATCCTTTTGAAGAACCTGACAAGAACATTCATATGAGTGCTATGCAGCGCAGTGTTTGAGAGCACTGTCATGCATGTGCATTAGACAGGACAGTGGTCCGGGTTAACTTGAATCTAATTATACAGAAAGGGCTATCTCAGATGCAAAAATTGAACAATCTGAAAAAAATGGGAGAAGCCTTTTTTCGCTAACTTCCTTCCTTTTCACACAGAGATGGGAGTCTCAGATTAATGCTAACTATTGAATAGTGGTTTCTTAAAGAGAACCTGATGTTGACCACTGCAATAAAATATGGTGCACTTTAAAAATCAAAGCCTTCCACAATGCAAACTCCTTCATTCTGTCTGATCTTTCAGCTAATGGGAAAGGATAATACACCCAATTAAAAAAAAACCATATTGGAACTGCCAAGTGACTTGAAGAAGTCAGTGCCACGGATCACTGATGTACTATTAACTGCTGCTAATTCTAATCACTAATCTCTTTCAGGTGTTGTATTTGGAGTGCTATGTACTTCCATGGCTGTGGCAGCATCACTTCTTGGAGGAGTTGTTCAGGTATTTATATTATCCAGAGATTCGCCGAATGCTACAAAAATTGATCTTGTACCCGGTTTGTTCTCTTTTCTCTGTAAATCATATCTTCTGTGGACGATAAATTGTGTTGTATAATGAGCAAACAGATTATAAAGAATAATAATATTAAGCAGGATGGCAGCTTCACATAATCCAGTTAGTGAACAATTCTACTTGTTGGGCACCATGCTCCGCAACCACAGTCTATGGCATCAAGTTTGAGTCCTTTCTGATCTGCAGTTCCGGCTTGGAATATGTATTGCCACTACGGGTATGTCTAGATTACAGCACTAATTCAAACTAACTTAATTCAAATTAGTTAATTCGAACTAAGCTAATTCGAATTAGTGCATCTAGACCTAAAAACGTTTTGCTAATTAGAAATAGCATGTCCACATTGAGTGGACCCTGAACCGAAGTTAAGGCTGGCTGGCAGGGCATCAGGCTAGGACTTAGAGTGTGGAGCTGATGCCTCAGGCTAGCCGAGGGCTGTGCTTAAAGGGACCCGACCCCCACCCCGGACAGACAGTTCTCAGATTTCCCTGCTTGCTTGTCTACCTCGATGAGGGACAGCAAAGCAGTCCTGGCTTGGAGTGCCCTGAATGCCCACACTCGGCACATCACAGCACTCGGCCACCAGCCCGGCTGCACTTGCCGCAGGCTGCCATCCGGGGGGGTCAATCAGGGGGCTGTCAGGATCCAAGAGGCCCTGCAGGAGAGCTTCCACCCCAGTCCTTCCCATCAGGAGCTCGTGCCCCATTCCTCCCTCACCTCCTTCCACTTACCCCTCCCTAGCCCCCCTTCCTGATGGGAAGGCTGTGAAGGCTAGAACTATAACAGAGTTTAAAGAGCAGTTAGATACATTCATGGAGATTGGGTCCAGGGGGTAGGAA